GATGCATGCGTTCTGATTTCTTGCTCCATCATTAGCAATTTTAGGTAAATATTACCATATTCAACAATAAATCTCACTTGTTGAAATGACTGCAAATCAATGTCCCAGATTACCCAGATTATTAGGAAGGACATTTAAACTGACATGAGACAGAATTTTGATATTCTTTTAGCATTTTTAGGATTTTTTTAAATTGTATTTTTTTTACTTTTTCAGTTTTTTCCCCCTTAGAAATCAAATAGCATGCATACAATATACAAACTGTACAAACAATATATCAATTTCGCCACAGCACTTTTAAACAAAACTATACAAAAATAACAATTTGTTTTACAAAATAAAACAATATCGATAAATGGGCACAAATATTCATCATTCAATTTATATTTATATATTCAATTCACCATTTATATTAATTTAAATAGTTAATTTAAAATAATTAATAAATAATTTAAATAAAAATAATTGAAAATATTTTTAATTAATTAATAAAATGTTGATATACAATATTGTTGTGTTGTTAATACAATATTGCTCATCTTTAGACCAACTTGCACAGTTGGTGCCAATTTCATTCACACATGCACAATATCTTTTATCTTTATCAGTATCACAGTATCTTTTTTTTTTTATCAACTCAGTATCTTTTACCCCTCCACAGGTTTTTCTTCATATGAAAAGCTCTTCCCTTATCTGCAGATGTTCGGATTTTCTCCACTTCCCAAACATATGGAATTCCTCACCCTATGGTCTGGAGGGAGGGAATGTTATGGAAGAGACCCATCTGTAGTGGGAACAAGGAGGGTAATGGTAGAGATAAGTGCCCCCCTCTCTGCCTGAGTCTCTGGAGAAGCCATGGGCTTGTCTGGAAAGGCATCAATCGGGACAGACACAGCGGGCCGATCCAGAGCCTGTCACCGGATAGCCCAGGGAGAGGAGTTAAAACTACAATCGGTTCTGCCGTTTAATGAAAGAAGCTTCAGGACACTGGAGACCGCACGAGTGCTGAAACAGACAGGCTTAGTGAATGCAGCTGAAGGATGATGGCAGATTTTGGGTGATGATGGAGACAAGTGGTTTTGAGGCCATGAATAATCACACGCAAAGTCAAACTTGACCACTTTTACATGCTTATTCAGGCTTATTATCACATGTGAAGAAGAGCCAAAGAGCAGCATTAAACCCCTTTCACCTGTCAGGGCCTCAACGCAGCACTCAACACAAGTGCCATGTGCTATTTTGACATATATTAATAAGACGATGCTATGAGATTGCTAGGTTTACCAAAGGTGTTTTTACAAAGTAAAACATGAAAACAAACAAAAGGTGTAAGATATTTTAGTCTACTGTATGTAATGGGTCACACGTGACAGGAGTCATGCGCTGCGCTGGATGACGACGATGATGAAAAAGGAAGATCAAACTCCTGTTGCTTTTTGCTGTACATAAATGGATAATACATGTTCATAATCGTAACATTAATTTGTGACTTAAGCACATTTTGATTCAGTCGCAAGCGCACTTTCGTATCGATCAATGGCTGATGGGGGTCTTCTTTAAAGAAGACAGACATGTAGATGATTATTTTTAAATCATACCCTATTTATTGCATCAAAATTTGTTACTACTTTACTATATTTAAGGGTGGATAATTTTATCAGTTGTTTATTGCAACAATACATAACTACAATAACTTTGTCTAGTGCTCTTAGGAAAGTTTATAGCATGATTTGTGAAAATGTAACTATACTGAATGACACGGCATAGACGTCTTCATTTGCGTATTTCATTTCATGCTGTAACCTACTTGTTCTGCAGATCTGTGTGTACTAGTGTTAAATGCTACTGTTTTTGAAAGCGTTGATAATGTTTATGACAGATAATATCATGATAATTTTTGCGTTCCCCTTACCGAATGTCGTATCCTGTCAGCAAAAACCTGTACATGGGCTATTTTGATTGTTTTCCGTTTAAGTGCCGATGTACAGCGTTGCCAGATATTGATACTAAAACAAACATAAAACTAAATAAAACTAAATCGAAATTATTTCCAAATATTTTGCAAATAAGATAAGATAAAGATATCGCTGACTCTAAACTGCAACTTCATACTTTATTAACTTTCTAAAGTGTTAAATTAATTGGAAAAGACAAGTCCAAAAGCGTTTATAATAGCTGGAGGCTGCGCCCGCGCCTTCACTCACAACTCTCTCAAGCCTCGTTCACTCCGCCAGCATCTCGCAGCTATCATTTTCATACAAGGGACGCTAAACATTCTTGCAAACTGTCCGAACTGAATTATACATGTCATGCAGACATTCATATGAGGAGTTTAAGAGCAAATTAGTAATTCAAAGAACACATTTTATTTTTGAACATGAAAAATTGACCGAGGTCCGGACCTCAGTGGCCTCATAGCTGGTTACGGGCCTGTGTCTTCCATCTTGTTTCATATTATTTGTGAAAAAAGTCATAAAAATTGTCTGGTAATCACTGCCTGTTTCACAAGTCAGCAGCAAAAAGGGCCATAGTTGAAACAACTGAAGTGTCGACCAGCACTCAATGCAATTCAGATGGTAGCTTTGTGAAGCCTCCATATAGTTCAGTGCATTTGGGAACACTGACATGAGTCATTTAGCTAGAGGAAGAGAAAGGGAGTTGATTATTTCAGCTGGGCTGTAGCACTTGGTCTCCTCTGGGTCTAGTGTCAGTGCTTTACATGAGGGGTGAGAGCTGTACTCTGACATCTCCATCCCAAATGAGACAGCTCCCAGCAGGCCTCAGTGCACCAGGAATCACTATCAGAGCAGCACACATCACTCAACATGCTGAGGAAGAAGCTTTTTTTATTCTGCATGCCAAATTATTTCCTTCAATATGTCATAAGAGGACAGAACAGTAGTATGGAGAGCTACAGCGGTTCCAAAAGTATCCACACACTTAAGCTGCACTTAACATGTATAAATGTCATTGCATTAGATAAAATATCAAACCAAACATCATTTATTTTAAAGATAAGTACACTTTTCAGTCAAACAAATCTCACAGAATTTCAGTTTGTTAATAATGACTGGCATTGTCAAATGGTAGGTATACTGTTCAAGATAAAGAGAATGGACAGTTTCTGGACTAAAGACCTTGAGATCAGTTGGAAACAGGTCATTTCAAGTGTCTAAATGCATTTTGGGGTCACTGTATTCATCAGTTATTTTAGCTCTGGGTGTGTGCTGAAGATGAATTGTATGAAAAATACCAAAATCGGCACGTTGATAAATTGAACATTTTATTTGTGGAAAAAAACAAGCAAACTGCATCAATAGACATTTCTATTGGAAGCAAGGGAAATGTTGAAGAAGCGTCTAAGCAAAGTCGTGCACATGCCAGAAGTCTGTTGAATGTTAGCATTGTATTAGCTATAGACAAGGAGCAGTGATCAATTAAAAAAAAAATAAGGGAATTAAAATTTATATTTACAAGTGAAATTAATGAGCGCCACACAAATTTTTTTCAATAACCGCAATGAGCAAGAAAACAAAACGAGGAGAAAAAAAAAGATTCTTACTAACAAAATTAAAACTTATTATGCAAAAGGAAATTGTAAAGGCTTTTTTTTTTTTTAACAAGACACTGACAAATCTTAAGGAGCCAGGATTATACAGGTACGCTGTAATTTCACAAGGTTAACGCTATAGCATATGTAAACAAGCATTCTATATTTGGGTTTCTGACAAACAAAGCTAAAAAAAACAAAAGTAACCATCTTTACACAGTAAATTAAGGTTACTGGTCGTACACAAGAACAGAGCTGCTTGCGCGTAAAAACTCCATTGCCATTCATAGCCTATTACGTTGGGTTTTGCACCATTTCGAGTTATACATAAGCACAGTTTAAATGCAGCAATTGTTTTTTCTCCTCAAATCTAAATAAATTAAGATACAATTAATTGTTCTTTTCTTTACAGTTTTACAAAATGCAGGTAAACGTTTCTGACAGCGGATAAGGCAAGTGAAAAACATGGCTATATTCATACATTTTACGAAACGTTGTGTTATATATACATTGCACATTGAATGACGTTCGGGGTTAAAATGTAGTAAAATCTCAGTAATCTGAATAATGCAGAATAATTATCACCCCATTGATTTGTGATGTGTCAAACAGCTCCCATTCCGGTTATTACTTTGCATACTTGTGAGAAAAAGAGGATTTTACCAATAGTGTCCATCTTGAATTGCACTGATCTAATTGGGTCAGAAAACAAAATCAATACAACTTAAATGCTTTGTATCCAACAATCAATACTGGTTTGGTTGGTTAACATCACAGATATATAAACAAGACACATGGTTACCCTCGCAAAACAACCCAGTGAAGTCTTCATTTATACATGATGCTTTAGTCTGTCTACTCCTGCTAATGAGGTGAAATTCAGAGGTTAACAAAAGCAGTAACCTATTCAAAGCATCGAAGTTGCCAGTGGATCAAAATGTCCATTTATCTCTTCATTTCAAAACATACAAAGGATTAAAAGAATAATTTGTGGAAGGGAAAAAACAGCTTGATGTGAGTTCACTGTAATAATTCTATGCCGTTCCAGAATTAACACGCAGTACAGTGACAAAAGTCAGTTTTGGCTTTACAGACTTGACATGAATGTCTATGAATTTACAAGTATACAAATATTCTGCATATATCATGAGGACAAGAATTACACATTTGAAATGGATTATATTAGACTTTATTAAAATGTTATATCACACATATGGTAATTACATTTTGAATTATTCATTTGCCTAGCATGTCAGCAATATCAAATTCCTTTGGTCCTTCAATAAATAAAACTCATATCATATACACATACTTTGTACACGTTTATTACAGTTCAAAGGGAAGATATGCTGACCTTGAGATTTGTGGGACTGCCAGCTAGACATCTTGAGTTAATGGGGAGCGGGAATATTGTGCGAAATCATGCTTGCATCAATTTTTTTGTGACACAAATCAAAAGTACTGAATGCTTGCAAGAGTTCCCATGCATTCAGTGACAGTTCACGTTCAGCACAATATCTCTTATTTCTAGAGTTGGGACTGTTTTAGTAAATACTGCACTGCTTACCATCATCTAAATTTCTGGAGATTATGGGAAAAAACTCACAAGTTTGTCTTCAGATTAAAACAAGGCTGAGTAAAGCCCTAAGATTAAAATCTGTATCTTTCGATCAAAAATAACTGTAAAACGCAAAAAGCAGTTCTTCAAAATTAAAGGCCTTTGAGAAGTCAAACCCTTTTAGTGTTTTTACAATACATCATATGTAGACCATGAAGGACAACAAAAGCCGTCAAATAAAATGTTTCTCAATACAATTGCAAAACTGGATGTTAAGCCAAGTGAGCATTGAGAAAGCTCAATTCATCTCCGAACGATCAAATCCATAGCTCACATCATGCTTGCAATGTCTCCTTGCAGTTTGTGAATTGCAGCGGTCTTCTCCATAACACAACGGATGCAAAACACCATCCGTTCAGTATGTTGACCAAACCAGATCTCAGGACCGTCAGTGCACAAATGTCCAGATCAGTCTCGCAAAAAGAAAAAAAATCCTAAAACAAAGCAACAGAAGAATGCAGCCTGACACCAGGACACAAATATTTCCATTGTTTTCAGGAGCAGAGGGATCTGTTTCTATGGTGTGAACGTCAGTCTGAGGACTGAAACCATTTCACAGTGTATCTAGCACCATTGTGAGAAGTTTCTCAGGAATCTTCGGAAAAATTGTTTCAACACTAAAGGGGAGCTGTCGGCTTGAGCTACTTTAGCTGAGCAAAACTTTCCATCCGAAAAAAATAAATAAAAAGTACAAAGATGCAACAATAAATAAGAGCAATAATGGTACGAAATAGTTCAAATGTCGGTGGTTATTGTGCACAGCGGACATTTAGATATAGAATTTTTTTTTTTTAAACAAAACAAAAACGTTGATTCAGCTGCACCATCCACGTACAAATATAAAACAATACATACAAGAGTGGGATGTCTCCAGGAAGGGAAAATCCATGGTCCACCATGGTTGCACCATTCACACAAATGTATGTGTAGGTATGTTGAGTGTGTGTGGGTAAGACGACCATACGTCCCTCTTTCAGTGATAGAAATTAATATGAGTTGACTCAGGGCAAGGAGAGGGGAAAGTGGAGGCAAAGTACATCCCCCGCTGTCTCAGAATGACTCATCGTGCCCGACCGAGAGGTCTCCCTTTGGTGTCGACGCACGGGATGAGCCCTTGTCCATGCTCTCGGAGCCGGAGCTCTGGTGCTGCTGTTCAGAGCCGACGCTGGAGGTCACTGTGGAGGACGAGGTGGAGGAGGTGCGAGTCTTCTCCTTAAAGTCTGTTATGATCACTGTGACATTCCCCACTGTGATGGCCAGCTGCTGGGCTGTGCTCCTGTCAATGTTCTTCAGCTTGGGTCTGCAGATTTGGAGATAGGGAGAGAGTGAGAGAGATATTCAGGAGGCTAACGCGACAAAGAACGCAACTTAGAATTTTGATCACTTTTTGAGAAAAAAAGATAAAAGATAGTGACATAACATGGCTGTATATTCGTGGCTTCAATTTTTCAAATTAATATACAATTCATGTTTCATGTCTATTATTTACAAATTTATAAAATAATAAAAATATTAAATGATATATTAAAAGCAGGTATGACAGGTGAATAATGAAAAATTTGTATATTTGTAAAAAATTTTACTGTACCAACATTCTAAAGTTTTTTTTAAAAGAAATTACTTTTATTCAAATAGTACCTTTCCATTTTTAAATAGTAAAAATATTTTACTGTATTTTTTATATAATAAATGCAGCCTTTGTGAGCATTATAGACTTCTTTTGAATGGTACTGTACATTTTAAATAAATTAATTAAATTAATGTCAAATAAACCAATGAAGAAAATGGTAAAAAAAAAAAAAAAAAACAACATTACAGATTCTCTCTGGTCCCGTCCATAAAAAACAATTCTATGGTTGGACAATGGGGGGCAAGTCCTGCATTGCACCTTTCACAGTATTTGCATGATTTTGATTTAAATGCAGAAAAGGACAGGGGTATGGTCATTGCATGCAAACCACGCTGAGTGGACAAACACCTGTCCACAGTAAAAACAGTCCACCCACACTAATACAAAAGACAAAAGTAACTAACATAAGTAACAACATAAATCAAGTCACTTTATTAGTGCTAACATTTAGGAGTAACATTCCCTAAACACTGTTTAGTATTCAGAAATTTGAGATGAAAAGATGGTTTTGAGAGAAAATAAGGCCAGACTCACATTTATTAAACATCAGAAACTAAGAACGCAGGCAAAGATTAACAGTGATCAGCAAGATTAACACTGAACAGCATAAAACATCACCAAAACTGATACACAAAAAGCCCACCTCAAAAGCTTTCAAAAAACGGACATATTTCCAGGGTTGTGTGCATGGCAAAACCACAAAGCTAAATCTCATTGATTGGCATTAGCCTCAGATGCTAGTATGCCTCCAAGACAATGTGACACAATGAGCTCTGCTGGCAGAAGCAGACAGAAACAGAATGGTGGGACGGCAGCCAACAAGGCGTGTGTGGGAGTAAAACTGTGCTGCTCATTTGAGAACAGAGAGAGATAGACGCAGACAGACAGACACAGAGAGAGAGAGAGAGAGAGAGAGAGAGAG